TTTGTTGCTAAACGTAAATTTTCTTGCAACGTAGAAGATTCCATGGTATTAATCTTAGGTCAGGCACCTCCTACCCACGAAAGCTATAAATCGGTAAACGGGTTGAAAACAAGCTCGTAAAAGGTAAAGAATCAAGTAATAACAAGTTGCAACTTTAAGCTTAACCTTCCACCAAAATCTCTCGAAGCTATTTCTATTTGAGTTTGCGAGAACCACTGCAGATTGAAGATATGCTGATGCTGCTCGCTTAACCAACTTGTTCCTGATAGAGATGTCAGAAGAAATGAACTCATAATGCAAATATCTCTCTTGGATCATTGTATATTGACATGTACGAGACAAATTAATAATGTCTTTCAAACTTGTGTAGCTAAGATCATCATCAATGTTATCGATGTCCCTAAGATTCGAAGTGTTGCTAATACTACTTAGTTTCAGCGACGAGAGATTAGAGAGCTGGTGGAATTCTATTTCCATTACTAATCAATATATGTTTGCTAGGTTACGAAATATGAACACGGACATGGTCGGAAGCAAAGAGAATTCTTGGTATTTTTGATGTCATCGATGGGAGGATTGGAAGAAAAAGAGGGGAAGCAAACTTTTTCATCAAAATTATGAAAATTAATTTTTTTAAACGAAAAAAAAAGATTTTTTTTCTTTCTAATTTAAGGTTGGTAAAAATCGTTCTTTAACTTTAACGGGTATCCTTCGATGTAGGATTTAGACTCGGACAATTATACACTAAAAATAAAACGTTTGCAACAATATTTATTTTTTGGGAAATTCAGGTTTTATATTTTGTATTTTAAATAAGAACATTTTCAAAAAATATATTTTAATTAAAAATAAAAACTATCTTGTAGTTTAAAAGTTTTATTTAAATATATTCTTTTATTTATTAATCTTATCAATTATGTTTAAATGTTTGTAAGTTCCAATCAGTTTTCTTACTTAAATATAAAAAAAAATATTTATTCAAAAATATTAGGAACAATATTTTTTAAAGAATATATATATATATATATATATAAAGGATAAGAGAGGAATTTCTCTTTTCTCACTCAATAGCAAATCTCATCTTCTCCAAGCTCTTGCATCAAACATTCTACCTCATAGACCTATAAATATATACATAATGTCATCTACATCTACATCTACATAAATATATATATATGTATACATATATACTCACATATATGTTCAACTGGCATGAATCATGAGTAGATAATTTTCTTTAGATGTTACAAATCATGACCAACTACTCCAACTACTTACAAATGCTCGCACTCACCAAGCAATTCAGCTCTCATGTCAACCAATGCCGCCATGATGCAACACTCGTTATCTTTTGCAAAATCCACTTTCTTTCTCGCCTTCTTCTCGACCCCTTCATCTCCATCTCACGAACATGCATAATGCTCGATACATATAGTTGCAAAGGAAAGAGAGAGAGAGAGAGAGAGAGAGAGAGAGAGAGAGAGAGAGAGAGAGAGAGAGAGAGAGAGAGAGAGAGTTTAAGTTTGATGAAAAACTGTAAGAACATGTGTAAAAGAATTGAAGAAAGAGTTTGATGGAAATAAACCAAGATCCAAATAGATCTTGGAGAAAGAAAGAAAGAAGAAGAATCACAGAGGAGAGTAGCAGCGACTTGAGGAAATGCCATTTGAGGTTTTCTTTTATTTCTTCTGGCTTTATTTATGAGGAAAAACAAGATATTTATATGGAAAAAAATGAGACACATGTACACAACATATATGGGCTCATACATACACACACACGCATATATATATATATGCACACACGATATGCACACGGAGTCCTTACGAGGATCCGCAACCTGCGTCACGTCCTGTGTTTAGTTATCTCATGAAAGACATAATTTGTTGTAATGTGCATTACAGTTCTATTGTCACAATACATGATGACAACTTTTGAGTATTCAATTCCCAAATTAGATAGCAAATATCTTACAAAAGTTAGCTCGCAACAGAGAGTGGTTCTACCTCTGTAGAGGACCGAGAAATAGTGTATTAATTCTTTGATCTCTTGGAGATCAATGATATGATTCAAGAAAAACACGATATCCTATGACAGATTTTTGAGTCTTTACTAAGCTCCCCAATCACTGTTGCTATAGGTGTTCAAGAAAAATTCTAGTTCTTTTCTTTCTTTCCTTCGGCTGCAAGAGACCCCAGATTCAACCCAGCAAGCGTTTGGTCTGCAAGAATTTTTTTTTTCCTATCTTCCTCTTCGGCTGCAAGAAAACGACGCTGCCCAAGTTCAGTAGCGTTTGGATTGCAAGAAAATTATTTTCCGTTCTTTCTTTCCGCTGCAACAGAAGAACGTTTCCCCATATTAATCTGGCAAGCGTTTGGTCTGCAAGAAATTTTTTTTCCTTCCTTCCTCTTCGGCTGCAAGGAAACGACGCTGCCCAAGTTCAGTAGCGTTTGGAAAATCATTTTCCGTTCTTTCGTTCCGCTGCGACAGAAGAACGTTTCCCCATAATAACCCGGCAAGCGTTTGGTCTGCAAGAAATTTTTTTTCCTTCCTTCCTCTTCGGCTGCAAGAAAACGACGCTGCCCAAGTTCAGTAGCGTTTGGATTGCAAGAAAATTCTTCTTTTTCTTTCAGGAACAAAAGATTCTTTTCCTTTCTTTCATTCGGCCACAGATTATGCCTTAGAACCTTGGCTACTGCAACATCGGCGGTATTATTACGTTCAGCGTACCAGTGACAGCAACAAAGGGAAGGGGCCCAAACGTTCGATTGAAGGGGATGAGGATGGTGGGTGATGGAAGGCGAATGGCGCGGACAAGCCTGTGTTGAATTCAGAGAATAAGCAAAATTGGGTATAAGAAAAACCCTAACTTTTATAAGCTGCAAGAAGAGAGGTAGTAATAGGAAAGAAATAGTGAAGAGTGACTGGATCATGCATGAGTACAGCTTTGACTCTCCTACTTTCAAAACCTGGGTTCTTTGTAGAATCATTTACACAGGCAAAGACAAGTATAAATAATTGGAAATGAAAAGGTGGATGAGTCTTTTGGAACAGAATGCTCTCTGATTTGAGGCAGATGAAAATCTCAGTAAATACCTTTGTGGTTCTTGGGAGATTTGGGGTGTATAGAATCCATGGTTCTTCTCTATGATAAATGCATGAATTTTCTCTCTAAGTTTTCTGAATTTCTACTTATATTTGGTCTGATAATATTTACCTGCAATGGTTGTAGTTGTGATGTAGTTGTAATGCAATGGTTGATGTCTCTCATTTCATGTCTATGTACATGTGTGTATGTATATATATATATATATATATCATTTTAAACATCTTCTTTCTGTGCACAAATTGGTGAGTAAGTTGTTGTGTAAAAAAATGTTGTTTTGCTTGGAGTGATGAGCACTTGAAGTTGAATCTTATTGGGAGGCTTGCTAAGTTGCTTGCTGCTGTGTTGTAGTTCTGCTGTGCTTGCTGCTGTTTTGGCATGTTGTAGTTGTGATGCAATGGCTGGTGTCTCTCATTTCATGTCTATGTACATGTATAAATATGTATATATGTGTGTGTGTTATAGTTTTGGCATTATCTGGAAATTATTGTATGATATTGATCATGAAAGAGATGATGATTTTGCTAAATAGTTATATAGTTTAAACCAAATTTTCGCAACTATGCCTCTTCTTTTGCCTTTGCCTGGACTCAAGTACTTCAAAATTCTTTCTCATACATTTCTTGAGAATATATTTTTCTTTCTTCTTTTTAATTTTTTATATTATTGTGTTTAATGTAATATCAATACGAATAATGTATCAACTAAGGGAATTAAAAATGTACTCGTTCACAATCCAATCACTCGTCACTATCTCGTTTCTTTTACCACCTCTCTTCTTGTATCTTATAAAAATTAGAGTTTTCTTAAAACCCTATTTGCTTATTCCCTGAATTAACAAAAGACTTGTCCAGTCTTACGCCTTCCACCACCCACCATTCATAAAAGTTAGGCTTCGAGTTTAGACATCGAAGATCGAAATCAAAGATCCTAAAGATTTTAGTCTTTTCTTTATATTTGATATTTTGTACTTTAATATGGTCTGTAACTATTTTTTAGTGGATGCTCTTGAAGTGGTTGTCATGTGTACACAATTGCACAAAGTCAAAATTTTTAAAATTTGTATGTAAAATTGATCTGGACTAGTTGGTGACTCCTCTTGACCCTTACATTCTTGAATACTAATGTTCATGCAATCAGTTTGTTTCAGATGGTTGTGAAAGATTTGAATTTCTTGGTTTTTGATATCTTCAAAGAAAAGAACAAAATTATAGCTTCCTCAGTGGGATCTGCATGCTAATTCTAGATGCACAACTGAGCATGTACAACATATAAAAACAAAATTATAAATGTGTATATATATAGATATATGTAGAAATTATATCTATATAGCTTCAAAAATTACCAGTGTTTGGTAGAAGAGTTTTGTGTAAAAGGTCAGAGAAAATTTAAAAAACAAAACATTGGTAGAAGAAAGAAAGAGAAAAGAGAATGATTATGAATACAAAAAAAAAATTTGTATAAAAATGAAAATGAAATGGCGCTCAACAAAAGCCGTAAGTTTGACAGTATATAAGACTAGGTTTGGATTGCAGGAAAATTCTCGTTCTTTTCTTTTTTTTTTCGTTCTTCTGCAACTCAGAGACATTTCCCCATATTCAACTCAGCAAGAAAATTCTTTTCCATTCTTTCTTTCTGCTGCAAGAGAAGAGCGTTTGGCTTGCTAAGAATTCTTTTTTTTTTTCATTTCTTCCTCTTTCGGCTGCTAGAAAAAGACTATGGCCAAGTCCGTTGGCGTTTGGATTGCAAGAAAATTCGGTTTTCTTTTTTCTTTCTGCTACAAGGGAAATACATTTACCGGGATTCAACCGACTGGGTGCTTGGATCGGAAGGAAATTCTTTTCCTTTTCTTTCAGGTACAAAAAATTCTTTTACTTTCTTTCATTCAACAACAATGACCACCATCTCCGTCCAGTATGGATACAGATTCGACCCGACAGATGAGGAGCTTATTTCGTATTTCCTGTGGAAAAGAATTCGAGGTGTCCGATTTGTTCCCGCCGCTCCTATGATAGACATGGCGTTTACGCCTTAGAACCTTGGCTACTCCCACATCGGCGGCATCCTCATCTTCATGATGCTGAATAGTATTATTTCGTTCAGCGTACCTGTTGCCAAACACAGGGACGAGGCCTAAACGTGTGGTTGCAGGGAAAGATAATGGTGGGTTTTGGAGGGCGAATGGCGGGGACAAGCCTGTGTTGGATTCAGAGAATAAGCAAATTGGGGTTAAGAGAATCCTCACTTTTGTGAGCTTCAAGAATAGAGGTGGTAATAGGGAAGAGATAGACAATAGTTATTGGATCATGCACGAGTACAGCTTTGACTCTCCTACTTTTCAAACCTGGGTTCTTTGTAGAATCAAGTACAAAGGCAAAGACAAGGGTAAATACCGCCAACTTGTGAATCTTGCTAATTTTTCAATGGAAAGTTGGAAGCGTTTTATGGAACAGAACCCTCACTGATTTGAAGCAGATGAAAATCTCAGTAAAGATTTTTGTGGGTTTTGGGAGATTTGGGGTGTATAGGATATATGGGAAATTGGAAATGGAAAGGTGGATGAGTCTTTTTGAACAGAGTGATCTCTGATTCGAGGCAGATGAAAATCTCGGTAAATACTTTTGTGGGTTTTGGGGGATTTGGGGTGTATAGGATCTATGATTTTGATTGTCATAAAAGCTCTCTTTAGTCTCCAACATTTTCTTTTTTCTCTATGATAAATGCATGAATTTGCTCTCTAAGTTTCCTGAATCTCTACTCATATTTGGTGTGATAATATTTACCTGCTTCATGATTTATTCAACAAGTGTTTGCATGAAATGAGAGGGAAAGAGCTGTGTGTAAGAGAATAAGTGAGCAGGGGACATGTGAATGATCAATGGTGTTTTTGTTTTCCTTTTTTTTTTTTTCCTGTTTTGCAGGTAGTAATGTTAGGAAAAGATATGTGCATAATATGAAAATAGTTTTGGAAGGAGAAAACAGTAAGGGGTTTTTGGAGAGAATGAATCTGGAAGAGGAGGAGAGGTGGATGAGGGGATTGGTGGTGGCTGGAAAAGGGATTCTGGGGATGAATTGCTTAGGATAGAGAAAGGAAAGTGGGATTGACAGTGAAGGTTTTTTTAATAGAAAGAGAGTTTGTAGTCACAAATGAAAATCGGAAGAGATGGTGAAAAAGAAAAAAAAGTATAGAACTGCAGAAAAATGTGGGAAAATGAAGGGATAAATGATGTGTATGTAGGATCAAACATCACTTGGATTAATTTGCATCTGGTCTGTGTTTGAGTCTGGAAATGAATGCATTTGTGTGTATCTTTTTATCTTTTGCATCATTTTGTTTTATCTCTTTCTTTTTTGTGCACATTGGTGAGTAACTTGCTGTGTATAAAAAATGATGTTTTGCTTGAAGTGATGAAGACCTGAATGGCTGATGTAAAGCTGCTGGTTAAATCTTATTTGGGTCTTGCTGAGTTTGTTTGCTGCTGTTTTTCTTTGCTGGTTAAAAAGTTCAGCATTATCAAGTGGAGATTTGCTTGCTGCTGTGTTTGCTGCTGTTTTGGTATGTTGTAGTTCTGATGCAATGCTTGGTGCCTCTTATTTCATCACGTCTATGTACATGTATATGTGTAATACATGTATATGCTATAGTTTTGGCATTATCTGGAAATTATTGTGTGATATTTTTTTAAACAAAAGTGTAAAAACTATTGCATGATATTAATCATGGAGAGATTATGATTTTACTAGATACCTATGTAGTTTAAACCAAAATTTCTTAACCATACCAGTAATATTGCATCCCAAGTTTTCTTAACCATGCCCTCTTGTTTTGTCTTTGCCTGGATTCAACTGCTGTCTTCTGAGATTTTGGTGATTCAAACCCTGTATGCGCATATTGCTTAGGGTATGAAATGAACTTGCTCAACCCCAATGACTGCTTGAAAATAATCTCAGGCTGATCTTGGAATACTTCATTAACAGGCTTTAACAAGCACTTTGCCTAGGGAAGTCCAATTAGACAACTTTCTAAGATTGTTTCTAGAATTCGGAAGGTGAAATTTTCGACGGGGTGTCAGAGCTACAAAGAAACAATTGTGTGAAATTATTTATGTGAAGTTTCATTGCTCATTTAAGAACACTTCAAGGTGGTGTTTATGTAGGAAAGTGTCCAAACAAGAATTTCTAGGCCAAAAATGCATCTGATGTTAGAGCACATTCAAGAAGTCTTTATGTGCTTAATGAATAATTGTAATTAATTGCTTATTTTATTTTCCGTCATAAAAAACTTGTATGTATAGAATTACAATATTTAACGGAAACACATCAATTATAGAAACTGCTTTTAAAAAATTTATTTCTAGGATGTTGGTAATGTGATTTTCTTACTCTTCTTCATTTTAAATGCCAATCAATCGAAGCATTTACATATACATCATGGTCAGTTCTGTATTCATAAATAAAGGACGATTTCGGGTCAATTACAGTTGTGATTCTTCATCAAATGGTAGTACAAGCAACTGGAAATGAAAAAATTGTATCTTTCTTCCTGAAGTGAACAGAAAACATATATATAGGAGTGTTCAAGTCATCAACCATTACAGATTTCAACACAAAAGAAGTATCACCTAATGGGGCTCAATTTTTGAAGGTGGAAAAGTTCCACTGTACTGAAATGACTCCTTGCCATATGGATGATCTGGATTTTCCTTATTTGCATCTTCGTAAGTTGCCGAACTAGATGCTGATTCTGCATTAGGATTCATACCGGCAAGCTGCATAATGTTTTCAATCTCTTTCACCACTTCACTCATTGGAGGCCTGGCAGCTCCTGATTCCTCTACACACGTCATTGCCAGGTCCACAAACTTGTCTAGACCTTTCAGGGTTGAGCCAGAGACAATGGCTGGATCAAGAATTTCAGTAAGGTTGTAAAGATTTTTGGTCTTGTCCATTGCCATCTTCACCTCTCTCACGATATATTTCCCCCGCTCTATTGGATTTCTTGCAGTTAACAGTTCCAGCAGAAGTACTCCGAAACTATAGACATCACTCTTTTCAGTCAACTGCTGAGTCATGTAATATTCCGGATCCAAATAGCCCTAGAAGTTAGAGAAAAAAACATTTGGAGGTTAAAATTTTATCAGTCAAGATTTTTCTCTAAATGGAAACCTAAGATCACTTGGCTTTCATAACTTTGTCTGCAAACTTGTCAAGTACGAAGCACTCACCATAGTTCCCTTAACTTGTGTTGTGACATGACCCTTTTCCACGTCACCTAAGAGTTTGGAGAGACCGAAATCTGCAACTTTTGCATTTAGTCGTTCATCCAGCAGAATGTTAGTTGATTTAATGTCCCTGTGTATGATAGGAGGATTGGCAAGTTCATGCAGATAGGCCAAACCTCTAGCTGCACCAAGGGCTATTTTAAGTCTCCTACCCCAATCCAATACTATTCCCGTCTTCCCTGCACATTTTTCCAATGAAAGAAGCACAATGAAGGATGACAGATGAAATTTTGAATTCAAGTATTTTAGTTACCACAACAAGAGAGATGGTCTAAACAAAGGAAACTGGTACAGAATATTTCTTGAAAATGTTATATTTCCTGTAAAAAGAGTTGTATGAATAAGAGTTCTCTCTGAATTCAATAACACAAATTCAGTAACACAACTTTCTTTATTCTACCAATTTTAATTGCTAAAGCCCAAAAATTGATCTTTGACTACATTTGACAACCTGTGAGTTCACTAGTTACCAATGGAGACGGAAGTGTATATATGTGGGACTTGGGAGAAGGTAACAATGAAATCATTTATCAGCATCAGAAGGTATGTAATGTATATTTTGCTGTATGAAGAAGATAAAGAAACGGAGAACTTTACCTGATAAAGTATCCTTGAGAGAACCATTTGGAACAAACTCGTATATTAACATTTGCTCCCCACGATCAAAGCAAAATCCCAAAAGGCTAACAACATTTCTATGATGGACTCTTGAGAGAAGCTCAATCTCTGTCTTGAATTCTAGACCACCCTGCAAGGATCCTTGTTGAGCTCTTTTGATGGCAATGAGTTCTCCAGTCTGAAGAATTCCTCTGTAAACCTATATAAATATTGAAAAAAAATTTTGGAGGTGAGACAACATCAGGAATTATTTTACAAAAGAGTTACTAATTCATTTTGACAACATTATCAGAAACTAAACAACCTTTCCATAACCCCCAGATCCAATATCGTTGGAATCTGAAAAATTTTTAGTATATTTCTTAAGCTCTTCAAATGAAAAGTTTCTTGCTCCTTTCAATTGAGGAACGCCAACACTGCTCTTCGTTGAGTTCCACTTTGCTGCATTTATACAACAATAGAGAATTAAGATTTAGTAGTGTAATCTTACTAATTCGGTATGATGACAATCGAGACCAGATAATGATGGTCAGATGTCCTTAAGTCTGTTTTTATCTCACCAAAAGGGATTACTCTTTTCAGTTGCTATTTCTGCTCTCCTCTTTTGTCGATATGCGTAAGCTCCAGCGAAGATTAACAGTAGCAGAAGAAGAGAACCACCAACTGCTGCTCCAATGATAATGCCAATGCCAGGTGACTTGCTTGAACCTTTCCT